GTTACTGCTAGTACTACCACTGACAACTATAACTACCACCTCACTTTTGGTACCACCACCTCTGCTACCTGCATCACCACCATCAATTATACTGATAGAATTTATGCTTCAATTATTAAACATTAGTGATTAAATTCTATTTGTTCAGCTTTAGTAATTAAAGATCAACACTAACCTCAGTAATTAAACGTCTAATTTAACCTCAGTAATTGAGCATTTAACCTCAGTTGTTAAACATTTAACCTCAGTAAACACTTAATTTAACCTCAATAATTAAATATCTAACTTAACCTCAGCAATGAAATATCTAACTTAACCTCAGTAATTAAACGTCTAAATCAACTCCAGTAATTAAACATTTAATCTCTGTACTTAATCATCTAATTTTTACCTCGGTAATTAACCACTTAACCCCGGTAATTAAACATTAACTTAACCTCAGTAATTAGGAACGTCATATGAGGCTTCGACTGACGTGTTTGAAGGCAGAGTAAACAATAATAATTACTTACATTTACACAGGTGCAGCTGGAAACACCACTAATGTCACTAGTCCAGGTATGTAGCTTCTCCCACACTTCCCAACCACACTGTTGCAACTAATTCCACCGCCAGCAATTGCTAACCACAACTACTGTCACCACTACATCCATATCCACAACCACCCGTAAACATGTTACCAGCACAGCCAAAAACTCCTACTACCACCACTATACACTGTTAAAACATTAACCACCATTACTACTCTAACAACTCTACCATCTCAGTCAACGATGGCAACTAAATCTACTACCACCATCTCCAGCAATCAGTATTTTCCTTGTCAACAAGCAATACTACAGCTCTTAAATGTATCTACCATTACTCCTACAGGCAATCATTCATGTGTTTATTACCATTACCATAACTAATGGTGCCACAGCGGTACCACACACTCACCAAACACTATATATAATAGTAATGAAACCACGAAACAAGTAGTACTGAATCATTTATCAAACTGCGGCCAGCCGGGATTAGATCCTGCGACTCTTAATCCCGGCTGGCCGCAGTTTGGTAAATTAATGATATAATAATAATAATAATAACAATAATAATTATAATATATATATATATATATATATATATATATATATATATATATATATATATATATATATATATATATATTTACCCTCCACTTCAATCGTATTAATAATTAATAATCACTTGTAAATAAATCTCAGCAACTGAGCCTAAGTAATCAAAAAAAATTTTCATTATTTAATAAATACATCCTTTTAAATAAGCAATAGTAAATGAACATTTGTAAATAAAGCTTATCCATTAAACTTTAGTAATAAAACTGTAATGAAACGTCAGTAATTAAACCTTAACAATTCAACTATATTGAAAGTCAGTAATTAAACCTTAGTAATTTAACTCTGTAATGAAACCCAAGTATTTTTTTTATATTTTATTAAAGACAATACAATACATTAAAAAAGAAACACAGTATCGAATCTTCCACAGAAATTATAAATTTTCATTGTGGAAAAACACAGTGAACGTTTAACTTTGTGCTGACACAAACAGCCCCTCATCCCCTGTGCATTTTATCCCTTTACACCTATGTTAAATACAAGATTACACAAAATTATACATTACATCAACCAAAAATATATTACAAGTGCATTGTTATTATTATAAATAAAAGGAAGCACTTACCTTAGTAATTAAAACTCACTAGCAACTAACTTTTAGTTAAAACTTATTAATCATACCTCAGTAACTGAATCTTAGTAATTAAACCACAGTAATTAGGAACGATGTATGAGGCTTCAACTGACGTGACTGAAGGACTGTAAACAACTATTTACATTTACACAGGTGCCGCTGGAAACGCCACTAACGCCACTAGCCCAGGTACGTAACCTCTACCACATCCTTCAACCACACTGTTACTACTACTACCACTACTACCATTGTAGCTGTTTAACCACAGCTACCACTACTACTACAAACCATCTAATACCATTCAACCAGCACCAACCACAATTACTACCACCATCAGTGCTAACTCTAATACTTCTCTACTGGTAGTGTCGTTACTGCTAGTACTACCACTGACAACAACTACCACTTCACTGTACCACCACCTCTACTACTTTCACCACCACCATCAATTCTGTCACTTAGAAATTATGCATCAGTTACTGAACCTTAGTAATTAAATTTTATTTGTTCAACTTTAGTAACTAAAGATCACTTAACCTCAGTAATTAAACATTTAACCTCAGTAATTAAACATCTAATTTAACGCCATTAAACATCTAATTTTACCCCATTAAACATCCAATTTAACTACATTAATAATCTAATTTAACCCCACTAATTAATCTAACATTAATTAAACATCTAATTTAACCCCATTAATTAATCTAATTTAACCCCATTAATTAATCATCTAATTTAACATCAGTAATTAAACATCTAACCTCGGTAATTAAACATTTAATTTAACCTCAGTAATTAAACATCTAGTTTAACCTCAGTAATTAGGAATGATGCTTCGACTGACGTATTTGAAGGCGCAATAAACAATATTAATTACTTACATTTACACAGGTGCAGCTGGAAACGCCACTAATGCCACTAGCCCAGGTATGTAGCTTCTACACTATACACATTACAACTGCTACCACCATTACTACGACAACCATAGCAGCTGTTCTAGGCATAACTACTACCACTACTACTAGCAATCTAATACCTTACAACCAGCACGAACCATAACTACTACCACCATCAGTGCTAATTTTTCTATACTGGTAGTGTTACTAATACTACTGCCACTGACAACTACAACTACCACCTCACTACTCTCAATTTTAACTACCACTATCTCTACTACCTTCATCATCTCCATCAATTCTATTACCCCACAAAAGTACCAATACCACAATAAATGTATAAAAATTACCTCCTCCACCACAAGTGCTAACTACAATTGTTGCCACAACCACCACCAATTATTAATCACAATTACTGCCACTATCAGTTGCTATAAACTACTACCACCACCAACTACTACTACTACTAGCAAATGCTAACCACAACCACTTCCAAGACCAGTTGCTAACCACAATTACTACCACTACCGACTGCTAACCACGACTACTGCCATCTATACATGCATATCCACAACTACTCTCAACGAAGTTACCACCACATAAAAATACCTAATACCACCACTACTAGTCACTGTTAAAACAACCACCATTACTACTCTATCTCAGATCTGTCACCTCAACCAACGATGGCAACTAACCGAGTACCACTACCCCCAGCAATCAATATTTTCCTTAACAACCACTGCTGCTACTACTACTACAACTGCTATATTCACTCTCAAAATCAACATTATTTGACCTCCTTAATTAAATCATTACTGATCTTTTCATTTTTCCGCTTCGACAGGAGGTGCAGCCAACGCGACCAATGCAACTAGCCCAGGTACGCCGCCTCTCCCACACTTGCACATCCTAGTGATCGCTTCCAGCAGTCGTAACAATTGTTTCACAATGTCGTGCTCAAAATGGGACTTGATTGGAAGTTTGACTCGCGGTAGTGATTTATATTATTTTTTTAGAGCGGGGGGGGGGCTGTGTTTCGCAATTGGTAGATAGGCTTGCTAGCTCACAGGGTGGCCTAAAAAGAAAAACGAAAGTCGTCTCTTACGACACGCTTGGCTTACGGAGAAAGCATTCTTTTCTTTCATGTGTAGTGTCATCTAAGTGTAAGTAGCAAGATACACCTGTTCCCCTGTTTATGAGACAGAAAATAGACACTAGCAATCTTGCCATCATGTAAAACAATTACAGGCTTCCGTTTCACTCATTTGGCAGGACGGTAGTACCTCCCTGGGTGGTTGCTGTCTACCAACCTACTACCACAGGAGGGTAGTACCTCCCTGGGTGGTTGCTGTCTACCAACCTACTACCACAGGAGGGTAGTACCTCCCTGGGTGGTTGCCTACCAACCTACTACCACAGGAGGGCAGTACCTCCCTGGGTGGTTGCCAACCAACCTTCTACCACAGGAGGGTAGTACCTCCCTGGGTGGTTGCTGTCTACCAACCTACTACCACAGGAGGGTAGTACTTTCCTGGGTGGTTGCTGTCTATCAACCTACTACCACAGGAGGGTAGTACCTCCCTGGGTGGTTGCTGTCTACCAACCTACTACCACAGGAGGGTAGTACCTCCCTGGGTGGTTGCCTACCAACCTACTACCACAGGAGGGCAGTACCTCCCTGGGTGGTTGCCTACCAACCTACTACCACAGGAGGGTAGTACCTCCCTGGGTGGTTGCCTACCAACCTACTACCACAGGAGGGTAGTACCTCCCTGGGTGGTTGCCTACCAACCTACTACCACAGGAGGGCAGTACCTCCCTGGGTGGTTGCCTGCCAACCTACTACCACAGGAGGGTAGTACCTCCCTGGGTGGTTGCCTACCAACCTACTACCACAGGAGGGTAGTACCTCCCTGGGTGGTTGCCTACCAACCTACTACCACAGGAGGGCAGTACCTCCCTGGGTGGTTGCCTGCCAACCTACTACCACAGGAGGGTAGTACCTCCCTGGGTGGTTGCCTACCAACCTACTACCACAGGAGGGTAGTACCTCCCTGGGTGGTTGCCTACCAACCTACTACCACAGGAGGGCAGTACCTCCCTGGGTGGTTGCCTGCCAACCTACTACCACAGGAGGGTAGTACCTCCCTGGGTGGTTTCTGTCTACTAACCTATTACCTAGGATATATATATATATATATATATATATATATATATATATATATATATATATATATATATATATATATACATTCTTTCTGTTAGCATTTCAATAATGTCGATACAAAAACTGTGAGCAAGGAAAAATAGCACCAAGTATGGAATTAGTGAGACACTGACGTAATATTCGCACGCAGGTGAACAGTGTCACTTGTGAGCAAGACTTTGAGTGTCGGTACCACCACAACCCAAAACTGGTAGATATAGAAACAACATAAGTACTATCACAGTCCTCCAAGCTGCCAGTACTGGTCGGTGGATCAAGTCTTCACCACACCCTGTTTAATGATCCACACGGGTTTACCGCTTCATGAAATATAAAGATAAAACAAAAGCGTATAGAGATGTTCAGTCTTATAAACATGTAATAATCGACGCTATTTACATTTACACAGGTGCAGCCAACTCCACCAATGTCACTAATTCCACAGGTACGTCACCTTTACCACTGTTACCAATCATACTGTTATCAAGCACACTTATCAAGCATACTGTTACCAACCAATTATCAAGCACATTGTTATCAACCACCATTATCAACCATACTGTTATCAGCCACGCTTATCAACCACACTGTCTGACTGGGTTATTTTAGCCTAATCCTTCATAATATATCACCACTGTATAAATATAACAGTTATTTAAATAGGTTGAAAGGCTATCTACTACACGATGGTTATGAAGGCTGGCTGCAAGTCATCTGTTCATCACCAGTCAAGAATACTTTAATATCTAAAATTTTGATTAATGTAACCTCTCATTGTATATAAACTGAAATACACACTCTGCTTAGTGTGTATAATATATATAATATATATATATATATATATATATATATATATATATATATATATATATATATATATATATATATGTCGTGCCGAATAGGTAAAACTTGAGATTTTGGCTTAAATAGCAACGCTCTTCTTGCTGAATAAGGCAAGTAAAAATTTGATTTTGCAATAATTTCGCAAAAAAAAAAAATTAAAAAATTCTGAACCTAACGAAAAATATATATTTCATTGCGTTTGTTTATTATTAAATTACTGTAAACTTATCTAAAATATATTTTGTTGGATTAGGCTAAATTAAATTGAGCTTGTTAAATAAGGTTAGGCAAGTTTTCTAAGGTTCTTCTGGTACAAAATTATAAATTTTTACAATAACATAAATGACAAAAAATCTTTAAACGAATAAGAGAAAAATTTAAAAAGGACTTAATTTTAAACGAGTTCTTGCAAAGTGATCAATTTTACCTATTCGGCACGACTTATATACATGGACCCCTGGTACTGTATGCTGCTTCAGCTGCAGGAAGTAAGCATTCATAGCACTTACATGTTTGTCAGCAAACACTTGTCCTCTTTCGTAACAAACCAACCACCACCTACCATCACCACTTCTATCGTCCAGCCTCATCCTCGCCCACTATTCCAGCCACTATCACTATTTGGCATGCCTATTACCATCACTCACCTAGCATGCATATTACCACCTACTGTTTCTACCACCAGCACCGTCTGCTGTTCCTACCACCTCGTACTACCATTCCTATCTCCATCACCGACTACCATTCCTATCTCCATCACCAACTACCATTCCATTACCATCACTATTTGTTCCACCATCATCCCCCAACATTATTCGTACTGCCATCACTACCATTTCTACCACCATTACTGCTTACCTACCATCTCTTTTATCACCATCATCTACCATTCCTACTACCACCACCACGACTTACCATTCCTACCACGATCACCATCAACCATTCTTACCACCAAGAACCACTACCATTTTGTCAGCCAAAACTCGTCTATATTTTCACAACACTAAACTCGAAGGTAAGACCAAATTTACCCACAACTTGCGGAAAAAAATAGTATTAGAAAATAGCCAAATGCAAAAATATAAGTGAAATAATTACCTCAAAGCCTTCCCCATTAAGAGTGACATTCCTATCGCTAGTTATGCTAATTTTGGTCTTATTGTGCCGCCTGCCATCACCCTGCTGTTGCCGCTGCTTTCACCACCCTGCCTGCCACCCGCCTGCCAACTTCCCTTGCCACCTGCAGCACCGCGCATAGACAAGGAGGACATCACACAAGGTAAAGAAAAATAAGACACAATACCATAACTGGAACAATACACAACTAACCTTGCTCCTTACACACGTTCAAAGCTTTCTTTCCTTGTTGTACATGTCCATAGCTCGATTATAGTGGCTCACGAAATCGTAATGACACGATTGCAAACAAACCATACCACGGGCGGGATTAAACCCGCGGTCAGAGAGTCATGTTGACGGCATTGAGGGGACTTGAGCTAGAGTTCGTCACGGCCACGCTAGCTGGAGATTCGTCTGTAAAAACTTGCATTTGTGGTCACAGTGGTGCCTATGCTAACCTTCCTATTGTGTAGAAATATATCTAGTTGGATGAATCTTATTGTGGCTAGCTGGTCCAGTGGCTAACGCGACGGTCTGGAGTAAATTGTGAATTCATTACCTCTGTAACTTGCTCAGCTACCAAAACTTTGGAGTCCAGTCCCTGGACCAATTATGTACCTCTGTAATCTTTTGACTACCGCCCACAGGATGGGTATGGGGTGCATAATAAACATATTAAACTAAACTAACTAACTGGAGTTTTGAGACTCTCTGACCGCGGGTTCAATCCCGCCCGTGGTATGGCTCAATTATAGTCTATTCTCTTTCGTTTATCGCAAGCCTATGTACAGTGGCATGTACATTCACTATTTTCTTACCATGCTTCCTCTGTCAAGAAAAGAACATAAGAAAGAAGGAACACTGCAGCAGGTCCACTGGCCCATGCGAGGCAGGTCCAAGTCTCCTACCGCCTTAAGTCAATGCCCCAACCTAGTCAGGTCAGATTACTTTCACTTAAGGCAGGAACACGGCAACTGACCTAGTAGCACAAGCTAATCAGGTCCAACTCACACCCACTCATGTATTTATCCAACCTATTTTTAAAACTACACAACGTTTTAGCTTCAATAACTGCACTAGGGAGTTTGTTCCACTCATCCACAACTCTATTACCAAACCAGTGCTTTCCTATATCCTTCCTGAATCTGATTTTTTCCAACTTAAAACCATTGCTGCGAGTCCTGTCTAGGCTACATATTTTCAGCACATTATTTACATCCCCTTTATTTATTCCTGTCTTCCATTTATACACCTCAATCATATCCCCCCTAATTCTGTGCCTTTCTAGAGAGTGCAGATTCAGGGCCTTTAGTCTATCCTCATAGGGAAGATTTCTGATACTAAGTGTTCTTATTTCTCTCTCTCCCCGTGCCCTCCACATTTGTAACCCTCACTCTTCGCAAATTGTTCTCTCATTTTGGCTACCCTTCTGATTTCAAAAACTCTGCCTTCTCATGTGCTAAACAGACTTTCTTCTCTCCCAAACTCTCTACTGTGAAACCTCATGTTCTCTGCCTTTCCCATATTTCCAGTTTTTCTAAGATACCAGATATACTAAGCAAATTTCCTAAATTTGCTTGTAACAGATAAGTGAACTGTAGATATGCATATATCCATATGTACACCTGTTAAGCCTTTTGGGGCCTAGGTCCTAGGCCTTTTGTGTATCCATATGATCTTGCGCTACCGTCCACAGGATGTATATGGGGTGCACAATAAATTAGCAACTTCGGTGGCAAAATGTAATCTAATCTCAAGAACTCTCTCCGTTCCTTAGACATCAAACTTACTTTTCGCCAGACTAACACCCTTCGCAGTAATCTAGTTGGTACCTCTCCTCCTGCTATTGATACTTCCGGAGTCTACTCTATTTCCTGCTCCTCTTGGTCTATCTAATACTTTGGAAAAACTGGCCGCTTTCTGACAGACTTAAAAAGAACTAAAGAAGTGTTAGACTTAACCACACCAATAATACTTTTTTCTCTCATGTTAGAGATCACAGTCATCCAATTAACTGGTCCTCTGCTAAAACTCTCTACCCTTCTAGCCTTCACAGATGTCTTCTTGAAGTATCCCTCAGATACAGCTTTCCTAATATGAATCTTAGTCCTGGTTTTGTTTCTGTAGTTGCCTTTCTTTCTCATTACATTGTCAAATGCTCCTAACTTCAGAGCAGCGCTGTATGGCCCTTGTGGCTTAGCGCTTCTTTTTGATTATAATAATAATCCTAACTTCAGAACACTCGTGACTTGACCTGATCTTTTCTTCTCTCCTTGCCTCTTCTTTCCTATATTTTGTCCTCTCTTTTTTCTGCTGCCTAGGTGTGTTCTGTCCTTCTGTTCCCCCCATACCCTGTGTTTTTGGTCCTACCCTTGTGGGCTATTAGCTCTGATGCAGTGCTCCTTTTTCTTGTGCTTAGACTTAATCTACTTCGACTATCTACTACTACTACTGCCTCGTTTCCCTCCCCTTTCTGTCTCTTGTGCTACTACCGCTACTCCCCTAATTACTACTGTTATTATTATTACTTCACTACCAGCATTACCTCTACCATTACTTATCCACTTCCTCCTCTCCGTCTCTTCAGTCCCCCTCTCCTATACATACTGGGTCCCTCACCTTCGTGTGTTAGTATGACTAATCAATAGTCCAAGTCGGACGAAACGTCGTCATAGTTTCTTTCTCCTATGTGCGGGTTATTGATGCATCACACAAAAGTAACTTGACTGAAGCACAATGCTTGTGTTTCCCCTTCTCTTGTCCAGCCGTATTCCAGTTTTCTTTCCCAGTCTAACTCTGGATTTCAATATCGCGTTTTCTTTCTACTGCTGCTGCGCCTACTACTACTACTACTACTACTACTACTACTACTACTACTACTACTGCAGCAGCTGCTGCTACTACTCGTACTACTACTGCTGCTGCTCTGCTGCTGCTCTGCTGCTGCTGCTGCTGCTGCTCTGCTGCTGCTCTGCTGCTGCTCTGCTGCTGCAATGCTGCTGCTGCTGCTGCTGCTGCTGCTGCTCTGCTGCTGCAATGCTGCTGCTGCTGCTCTGCTGCTGCTGCTGCTCTGCTGCTGCTGCTCTGCTGCTGCTCTGCTGCTGCTCTGCTGCTGCTGCTCTGCTGCTGCTGCTGCTGCTGCTCTGCTGCTGCTCTGCTGCTGCTGCTGCTCTGCTGCTGCAATGCTGCTGCTGCTGCTGCTGCTCTGCTGCTGCAATGCTGCTGCAATGCTGCTCTGCTGCTGCTGCTGCTGCTCTGCTGCTGCTGCTCTGCTGCTGCTGCTCTGCTGCTGCTCTGCTGCTGCTGCTCTGCTGCTGCTGCTCTGCTGCTGCTCTGCTGCTGCTGCTAGGCTGCTGCTGCTGCTGCTGCTGCTAGGCTGCTGATGCTGCTGCTGCTAGGCTGCTGATGCTGCTGCTGCTAGGCTGCTGATGCTGCTGCTGCTAGGCTGCTGATGCTGCTGCTGCTAGGCTGCTGCTGCTGCTGCTGCTGCTCACAAAATCATAACAGGACTGAAAAACAGGGTACTGGTGGGGTTAGAACCCATGGCAAGTGTGTGGTAAAACTCCAGGTCAGTGTGCAAGCCACTGGGAAAGCAGGCTACAATAAAAGTCATCCAACTTGGTATATTTATACACCATAGGGAGTTTAGCATGGGCCACCACTGTGACCACAAATTCTACTTCTATTACTGCTTCTGCTGTTACCACTTTTACTACAACTACCACTATTACTACTGCTACCACTACAATTATTACTACTGCTAATATTGCTACTACCACTACTGTTAATACCACTAGTATTACCACTATTACTGTTATTATTACTATTAATAATAAGTTATTATACACCTAGAAGTGTGTGTGTATAATATATATATATATATATATAATATATATATATATATATATATATATATATATATAAATATATATATATATATATATATATATATATTACTAAGAATTTACTTCAGTCCATAATTTACGTATTAAAGTACGTATTCGTGACTGGTCGTGAAAAGGCGACATGCAGCTGTTATGCTGTAGATGGCCTTTAAAACCCATATACCAATAAGTTTTTTCCTTGCTATATAATAATAATAATAATAATAATAATAATAATAATAATAATAATAATAATGTTTGTGGACAGGAAAAGTGCCAAATCTGAACCCAGTCAACGTGATCCCGGTGAAGAGATCTTTCATGAGGCTGATGACGACTGTGACCATCCCCTCCTTTTGCGGTAAGTCTGAGAGATGATTGTGACCCCTTCCCTCCTGTGATAAGTCTAAGAGACAGGGGTGGCGCCTAGTAAGGGGGTCTAGGGAGGGCTGCAGCCCCCAAAATATTCCATTAGCCCCAGGAAACCCTACAAATAATAATAACAATGCTTCAAGGCAAGTCCACTAACCTTTCCTAAATAAAATCTCGGAAACCTCCCATGCTGAGAGTTGAGATTATTATTAAATTTATGACACACAACATGAAATGCTGTTATGCTTAATTTTTAGATGAGTGGAAAGGTCTTAGTTATGTGACCAAAAGCTGCAGTGATAGGACAGTACATGAGTAACACCCGCGTCGGGAGGCCTCTACTCGTTCTCCTGACCATCCATAACTAACCTAACCTCAGTTGAAATAATGTAAAGCGCTAATCACACTGGGAAGTGGCCTGGTAGCAAAGTTTTCGCTTCACACGGTGAGTGTCCGGGTTTGATTCTTGCAAAGGGGTGGAAACATTGGGCGTGTTTCCTTACACCGGTTGTCCATATTCACCCATCATTAATAATGGGTACTTGTAGAAATAAAGACATTATTATTATTATTATTAATCATTCAGTGCTAGTAGTGAAGGCACGATGCTCCGTCAGCCTGAAGCAAGACACACACACACACACACACACACACACACACACACACACACACACACACACACACACACACACACACACACACACACACACACACACACACACCTTCATACTTGTATTTACCTGGCTGCCTCTAAGAGGATACAATTCTTATATTCATAAGAAAACTGTCTCACACATAACCACGAAGAGAAAGAGCACTCAGAGAGGACTTAACGAAAGAAGACAGGAACACAGATAAATGCTGGAGGATTGATTAGAAAAAAAATTTAGTCGATACAGCTAATACTAATTTACTAAATAAAATTTTAGCATGGTTTCAATTTAGTGAAAAAAAATAACTATACTTAATTAAATCAAGTTTATATCTGGTATTAAATTTGCTGTTAACCGAGTTAAAAAACTTCACATCTGATATTAACTGATTGAAGAAACTACAACTGGTATTAAACGAGTCCATAAAACTTCCTTACAGTGGGTATGAGGTGCATAATAAAGATATTAAGCTAAAAAGTGTTAAATTAATGAAAAATTAGATATACATGTAGTGTCTGTTTTCTGAAGCTTCAATATAGTGACCCAATATAGTGACTAGACACTAGTACACGAGCACAGTTAGTGAAGTGTTAATATACGGTACAATATTTAGCGAACATAATGTGTAACCAGTGTCTGTTTATAATTGTCATAGAGTGTATAATGACAGCTTGGTGATCATAGTGGCTATAGTAAGGCTAACTCAACATGCTCTCTCCCTCACAGGTTTGGTGTTCTTCATCATACTCTGCATGTGCTGTACCAAGTCAGATTCTATTCTCTGCTCCATCTGTAGCAGTAATCCTCCAAAGTAAGCTCATAATCTGTAGCAGTAATCCTCCAAAGTAAGCTCATCATCTGTAGCAGTAATCCTCCAAAGTGAGCTCATCTGTAGCAGTAATCCTCCAAAGTAAGCTCATAATCTGTAGCAGTAATCCTCCAAAGTTAGCTCATCTGTAGCAGTAACCCTCCAAAGTGAGCTCATAATCTGTAGCAGTAATCCTCCAAAGTTAGCTCATCTGTAGCAGTAACCCTCCAAAGTGAGCTCATAATCTGTAGCAGTAATCCTCCAAAGTGAGCTCATCTGTAGCAGTAATCCTCCAAAGTAAGCTCATAATCTGTAGCAGTAATCCTCCAAAGTTAGCTCATCTGTAGCAGTAACCCTCCAAAGTGAGCTCATAATCTGTAGCAGTAATCCTCCAAAGTGAGCTCATCTGTAGCAGTAATCCTCCAAAGTGAGCTCATAATCTGTAGCAGTAACCCTCCAAAGTTAGCTCATCTGTAGCAGTAACCCTCCAAAGTGAGCTCATAATCTGTAGCAGTAACCCTCCAAAGTTAGCTCATCTGTAGCAGTAATCCTCCAAAGTTAGCTCATCTGTAGCAGTAACCCTCCAAAGTTAGCTCATCTGTAGCAGTAATCCGTAGCCAACGTTAGTACTAAAATATCTGTAGCAGTAATCCTCCAAAGTTAGCTCATCTGTAGCAGTAACCCTCCAAAGTTAGCTCATCTGTAGCAGTAATCCTCCAACGTTAGCTCATCATCTGTAGCAGTAACCCTTCAACGTTAGCTCATCTGTAGCAGTAACCCTCCAAAGTTAGCTCATCTGTAGCAGTAATCCTCCAACGTTAGCTCATCATCTGTAGCAGTAACCCTTCAACGTTAGCTCATCTGTAGCAGTAATCCTCCAACGTTAGCTCATCTGTAGCAGTAACCCTTCAACGTTAGCTCATCTGTAGCAGTAACCCTCCAACGTTAGCTCATCTGTAGCAGTAACCCTCCAACGTTAGCTCATCTGTAGCAGTAACCCTCCAAAGTTAGCTCATCTGTAGCAGTAACCCTCCAACGTTAGCTCATCTGTAGCAGTAACCCTCCAACGTTAGCTCATCTGTAGCAGTAACCCTCCCAACGTTAGCTCATCTGTAGCAGTAACCCTCCAACGTTAGCTCATCTGTAGCAGTAACCCTCCAACGTTAGCTCATCTGTAGCAGTAACCCTTCAACGTTAGCTCATCTGTAGCAGTAACCCTCCAACGTTAGCTCATCTGTAGCAGTAACCCTCCAACGTTAGCTCATCTGTAGCAGTAACCCTTCAACGTTAGCTCATCTGTAGCAGTAACCCTCCAACGTTAGCTCATCTGTAGCAGTAACCCTCCAACGTTAGCTCATCTGTAGCAGTAACCCTCCAAAGTTAGCTCATCTGTAGCAGTAACCCTCCAACGTTAGCTCATCTGTAGCAGTAACCCTTCAACGTTAGCTCATCTGTAGCAGTAACCCTCCAACGTTAGCTCATCTGTAGCAGTAACCCTCCAACGTTAGCTCATCTGTAGCAGTAACCCTCCAACGTTAGCTCATCTGTAGCAGTAACCCTCCAACGTTAGCTCATCTGTAGCAGTAAACCTCCAAAGTTAGCTCATCTGTAGCAGTAACCCTCCAAAGTTAGCTCATCTGTAGCAGTAACCCTCCAAAGTGAGCTCATCATCTGTAGCAGTAACCCTCCAAAGTGAGCTCATCATCTGTAGCAGTAACCCTCCAAAGTGAGCTCATCATCTGTAGCAGTAACCCTCCAAAGTTAGCTCATCTGTAGCAGTAACCCTCCAAAGTGAGCTCATCATCTGTAGCAGTAACCCTCCAAAGTGAGCTCATCATCTGTAGCAGTAACCCTCCAACGTTAGCTCATCTGTAGCAGTAACCCTCCAAAGTGAGCTCATCATCTGTAGCAGTAACCCTCCAAAGTTAGCTCATCTGTAGCAGTAACCCTCCAAAGTTAGCTCATCTGTAGCAGTAACCCTCCAAAGTTAGCTCATCTGTAGCAGTAACCCTCCAAAGTTAGCTCATCTGTAGCAGTAACCCTCCAAAGTTAGCTCATCTGTAGCAGTAACCCTCCAAAGTTAGCTCATAATCTGTAGCAGTAACCCTCCAAAGTTAGCTCATCTGTAGCAGTAACCCTCCAAAGTGAGCTCATCATCTATAGTAGTAACATCGCCGCCGCTCAAGTCTAAGACTACTTGCTGCATTACTACCATGAGCAATGACTTAAAACGCCCAAGACTACAGCTACGCTGAAGATCATCGCTACGCCTGTGACAGCCTGAACAAAGGAACACAACGCCCTTCAGTGCACCTACACACACAAGAAACTATACACACACTCATACCAAACATTACAGATCAAGTGTCCATCGACAAGTACCTTTGACAACTAGTAACTACTACAACTACACCAATCCTCCACCTCCTAGCCCCTCCCATCCCTATCCACTACATATTAGGATGTACGAGACAATGCTACGGAGATATAAAACTGACTTGCAAAGCAATGAACTGAAAAAAAAAACTAGAAAATAATGGTAAAAAGGGAAGGGCAACAATAAAAACGGCAATACTCTATTAATGAGAAAGGATGATTATTATAATCATGGGGGAGCGATAAACCAGTAGGATTATACAGCGCATGTGGGGGGATGGAAGGTATTCAGGCTCAATTCAGGGAACCGGAGAACAGATCCAATTCCCTAGATCAAGAGCCCCTCACCAGCGTCAAGGAACCTCCCTTGAGGGAAGAAGGATGATAAAATTCTTAATATATTCACCATCTACAAAGCCAAACATAGTTATCATCTAGACTGAAGATTCTTGAAAGATGTGATTTATAGGCATAAGATTGTGATGGAGAGGCTATGCTTGAACGTTTATTGACTGATCAAATTATTTAGAAGTACAAAATTTGGAACATCTGAAGAAACTAGATCACTACCTCCGCAGTGTGCTAGGTCAACCAGGCTGTGATGGATACTCATGCGGGGCCGGAGGGCCGCCAACAACACCAGCCTGGTTGACCAGGCAACCAACTGGGAGGCCTGGCCCCAGACCGGGCCGGGAAGGCAGAACTCTCGAAACTGGTCAGAGGTAAACCACAGGAATTACCAATCCAAGGAAAACAGTCAAATTTGTCATGCCGGGTCTTTGCACCAACACTGACGAAGCAACCTAGCATTTCCTTGCTACAATTTACGCAGTATAAAATAAATTAACTTAATAAAACTATCTAAAAGTTTGCGTAAGTATTATGACCAATTTCACTGGCGAGGGGATCGTTTCTTCAGGTGATCCCAAAATTTAAATATATTGGACAAGGACACAGCTGGAATCAGTGGATTAATCCAAAAATTCCAGTATTTTGTTCTACTTTCTATTTTGGTTTATAATTGAACTTAAAGCCTATCGACTAGTTTGTGGGTCATTAAGGCTGCCTGTCACCTATTCACCACCAGTTAAAAATACATGTACTTTAATACCTAAAATAGAGATTAGAGCAAATCTTCATCATGTGTACACAGAGACGTATGATTCACAATGTATATATCCTGCTAATATTTTTGTGATTATAGTATATTTGCACAGTTAGTCAAGAATATATTATTATTACATATGTTATATACTCCAATACATGGATCACTTGAACACTCGTTTTCCTCTAGACGAAAACTTAAACTTTGTTTATGTAATAGTTTTTATATGACTATTTTGCATCCCAACTAGCCTAGCAAGTACCGTAGCTGCAGTTTAGTTTAATTTAATATGTTTATTATGTACCTTATACCCTTCCTGTGGGCGGTAGTCAAAAGATTGGAGAGGTACTTAATGGGTCTAGGGACTGGACTCCAAAGGTATGATAACTGAACTAGTTACAAAGGTAGTGAATTGCAGGAAGATCTGGTCACAATCATGGCAAGTTACAAAAGTAATGAACCATCTACACTCCTACACATAGTTCCGTAGCTGACCAGGCTAAACTAAAGCTACCTAACCTATCTAAGAGATAACCTATTAAATAATTTACCTAACCTAGTTAAGAATTTACCAAACCTATCAAAGAATTTACCTAACTTATCTAATTTGTCCAAAAATATACCTTATTAGTACTTCCTTGTTCTCCTTGTAAGGAAGCAAGACGTGGGAGAGAGGGGAAAGTTGTCGAGTGATCCTAATTATTGTTATTCATCATAAGTTAAGTCTATACCTGTAGGAGGTAATACAGTGCCTGGAGAATGGTGTGAGACCTTTACCAGGCTTGATCCGAGGAAAGGGAGAGTAGTTCCAGTTCCTCGGATTAATTATTCATAGATTTCCTGCGTGTAATACAAGAACACAAAATTGTGTGGAATGCCAGTAAAAAGATAACTAATTTTAACGTGTCCATCCACTTCCCCGTTAAGGAAAACGGGAAGCTAATTTACACACTGTAGAAACCTTATGTATAACTGAATGTATAATTGGATAATTATTAGCTATAAATAGTCAGACTGAAGAATTTATTCAATTACCTTCGAAATAATATCTTTCAATATATATTATGTATATTACTTTAAACATCTGATATGCAAGGAAAAAACTTCTATATCAACATTCACTCAATTTTTAATTACTGTATACAGTATTACCTAAGCCCTGACTGTATAACTCAGTCGGCCAGGGAACAACCACACACCAACTATCAGAAAAAGAGTACTGAGTAGCATTAAGGAACCTCTCTTCCCATCACAGCGTCTTAGAGATGGAATGGGCTGGTGCTTGTAATGCTCGCTTACTTTCGGTCTTGC